CAGTTATTCACTAGCCTAGGTTTTAATCAAATAAAACAAAGCAATTTACTCTGATCCACTGAGTATAAATTGATTTAATGATAGATTACACTAGGTTTTTCCAGTACCGAATGAGTGATTGTATTTACCAAACATTTTAGGATAGCAAACGCTATCAGTGTTTAATTTTCTCAATAATTTAGTTTCTATATTATATAGATACCAGTAGGAAAGTGGTAAATCAATTTATTATTTCAAGAAGTGTTTGTCCATTTTTAGTTTAAATATATGTGTTATGTAATTGTTTATACACTTTTAGATTGTGACGCCCCTAATTTGTCTTGCCCGGATAATTTGGCTCCACTTGAAGTTGATGATAACTGTCAGGCAAATGCTACTTGGGATGAGGTAATGGCAGACGGCACCTACGACAGTCTTGTAAATGTTGACTGTGATTTGAGCCCTAGTACTTTTCCTTTAGGAAATTACACTGTGCAGTGCAATGCTTCAGACTTGGCAGGCAATACAGGCAACTGTTCTTTCATTTTCCATATTCTTGGTATGTGTTTGGTTTTTCATTCTACTTGGCATTAGAACCATATTTTTAATTAATGAATTAAAAAAATGGAATTTGATGATGGGATTCGTAAATATTTACTTAGAATTAAAAGTTTATATTGAAAAAAAAAACTAAAGTAATTTCAAATGTATGCCTTTAAATAAGTATCTGAAATCAAGGATATAGTTTCTAATGGTTTTGCCCTCTGGAAGGCATTAATTAATTTTAGCAACTTGTTTCAAGAGGTTTCAACAACTATATTTATTGTTTTTGTACGCTTTATATTATATGTACAGATTTGACTCCTCCAGCATTGGTATGCCCAGACGATATTACCGTTCCTAATAATGTAGGTAATAATACAGCAGAGGTGACATGGAACCTTGCGGTTGCCACTGATAACTGCTGTGGAGAAAACATCGATGTGTTGCCTGATATTATGAATGGTAGTACTTTTGACACTGGAATTACTAATGTTACACTTACAGCAGTAGACTGCAATGGAAACCAGAATGAATGTGTCTTCAGAATTGAGGTTAAAGGTAATATTTTTTTAATATTTTATGGAAATTAAAAGATATTACATTTATGCGTTCCTGAATACATCTTTATTGATCGTTAATTTAAAACACAATTTGCCCTGCAGTCTTAGTTTCTATGGCTTGATAATCCTACTTTCTAAAGGTAGACTTAGTTTTTGTCAACTCCTGTTGTTTAGTAGGTAGACTTGCTAATTGATTTGAATTTTAAAAAAATACAACGAAATAGCACCTTAACATTAATCATTTTCGTATTTAACAAAATGGAGTTGAAACTAAAATAGAAATTACAAAATAATAATTTAATGTGTAAAGAAAATTGTTTAGGATTGAATAATCAGATTATGATAACTTTTCCTTGTACAAATAATAATTTGATGAAAGAATAAGCAATTTTAAATATTCGTAATGGAGTGAAAGTAAATAAGACAATAAATATGTGCACAGTAGTATAGAATGTTAGATTCCATGACATTTTATGTGATTTCTTTGACATTATTATGCTAATAAAATTATACTCGAAAAGAAATATACCGTATGTATAGTTAAGACAAATACTTGTATTTAAAATTGAAAGCAGTTCTTGACACAGTAAATTGTTAAGGATATTAATATTAAGTTTTGGATTTGGTTATGTTACAAAATATTAAACACCGCTGAGTATAATAAAAAATTTCCATCCCAGTGTGCTGAATAAAACCGTGCACACACTGTGTCGTACGACGATCATAGACCACTGAGCGACAAATCAATTTCCACTCTGTATGAGCGCTTGACAACACGACATTATCTGCTCATTGTCGGTGGCAGACTATTAGCAGAATCGCTTCAGCCAACGGCTGTTGGGACACAAACATATCATTGCTAACCATTTTAAAAATAGTACAAATTGTTAGAAAATCAGTATTAAGTTAAATTATTCTTATTATTATCACTACAATCATTATTTTGTTATTATTGAATTCCAAATAGTTACAAAAGATCAAAAATAGAATTCATTATTTAAAAAAATCATACAAAACATTTATTCAAAACTTGCATTGCTGTACGTATACAGAATCTTTCAATTTCTGTTGCAGTCTTGTTAATGGTGTATAAAACATATAATTAAAATAAATCCAATTATTTTAACTTGTACCAAAGCACATTTGCTAGTTAACAAATTTGCTAGTGATCAAAGTTACTTTCTTCAAACTTGACAGACAGTGAACCACCAGATCTTGAATGTCCACCAAGCCAAAATCTAGTAGGTGATAATGATTGTATGGCATCGCCCACTTGGACACAACCTATTGTTACGGACAACTCTGGGGAGATAATTCTACCAGTATGTGACTATAGAAATGGGAGCACATTTTCTGAAATGAACACTACTGTAACATGTAATGCTACTGATAATTACGGCAACATTGGGTTCTGTACATTCAACATTATCATTATAGGTGAGTTTATTTATTTTATTTTATTTAAATTAATAGAGTCGAAACGATATTATTTGTAATTTCTGAGTTATACTTCCTTGATTATGTTAGATGAGGTTGCTCCTATACTGGATTGTCCAGATGACGTCATGATGTGGGGTCTAGGCCCGTTGCCACCTGGCCTATTGCCACCCGGCCTTTTGCCATCCGGCATTTTGCCACCCGGCCCGTTGCCACCCGGCCTTTTGCCGCCTTAGGCCCGTTGCCATCCGGCCTCTAGCCACCCGGGCTTTGCCACCCTAGGCCCGTTTCCACCCGGTCTTTTGCCCCCTAGGCCCGTTGCCACCCGTCATTTTGCCACCCGGCCCATTGCCACCATAGGCCCTTTGACACCCGGAACGTTGCCACCCGGTCCGTTGCCACCGTAGGCCCGTTGCCACCCGGCCCGTTGCCACCCGGCCTGTCGGCACCCGGCCTGTTGCCACCCATAGTTGTATAGTAGGCCTATGCAGTGTATTTGCAGAAATTTTAATCTCGGTATTTTTGCTAAAATATGTGTACTGAATGATGAATGGATTGATTTTTTGGCAGATTGTAAACAACGACAATTCGTTGCGGTTAACCATCACGAAAGGCACACGTGTGAAGTAGCTTCCTGATAGCGTTCTATCTTTATTTTTATGTATTCAGACGTACATATGTATGTACAGGTATATGTTTTTTGAGTATGTACTGTTTTTAGTTAGTGTATATGTTTTTTTTTTGCATTTTTTATGAAGGCAGAACATCATGAATTAAAATCATTGTAGTGTTATTCATTGAACAGATTTTTTTTTTTTTTTTTTTTAATTGTATTGCCTTTGGAGTGTGGAAATAATAATGAACATAAATTAGTGAAATAATATAGTAGTGATGTTGAATAGGCCTATGTTAATGCTGCTACCGCTATAAGAAATGGGCATAGACCTCTCACAATTTGTTGTTTTTAAGATATTAAGCCAAATGTATGATCATATATAGCATATATATATAGTATACCAATAGAAAAAACATGGGTGGGGGAAATTTCCAACTGACTAATTGAAGGCAACGCAAATTAGGCTTGAAGGCTTGAAGACCCTATAATCTGAACAATAGCCCTAGTCACAGTATAAACAATCAGGAAGATTAGTTTGCTCAGATCATTAATGTTACTGAGCGCAACATCCTTTGTATAGTTTACCGCTAACGAGAAGAGCTTTATCTTAAGTTTATCATTGACGGTTATTTCTCATGAGAAAATATATCTTCATTTCACTAGCAGTCTTCTCATTAGTCAGTTTACCCATCCAATCACCATCCAGCTTGTGTTTTAGCCTTTCACCCATTGGTCAGTTTATCACCATCCAGCCTCTCTACCCAAACATATAAGACGATTGAAGCAACTCAATCGAAACGTCGAGACTTTCTCAACTACAACAGTTCTTTTCAGAACTACTTGCGTGGTGTACCGCAAGCTACAACATATACAAAATATATCTTGTAATAAATTGTCCGCATAAAGAGAGAAATACCCAAAAAATTCCATAAAGTTCATTATACACACATAAATAGGCTTGTGGTTATACTATATAAATAGCTATTATTATCATAAATGTGTTGTTTTTTTAATTGTAAAAGCAAAGGCTATTTCTTTCTATAGAATAAGAATATACTTAAAAATAAAATATAAAAATAAACAAGACCCTGCAATATTTCTCTCTTTATGCGGATTTATAACAATGTTTATTTCTGCAATTTTCTCCTGGTAGTAAGAAAGTGCATGGACTATAAATAAAATACAGTAAACTAATAATTAAATATTAAACTAGAAAGTAAATTTAATCAATATAAATTCTGCTATAGTAGGCCTACTAATACAAATCTGTGTAAAAAAAACTTACCAAAATAAAATATTCGACTGTTCCAAAGGAGGCAAATGGCCGAGTGGCAACGGGCCTGGGTGGCAACGGGCCTAGGGTGGCAATGGGCCAGGTGGCAACGGGCCTAGGGTGGCAATGGGCCGGGTGGCAAAAGGCCGGGGGCCAACGGGCCAGGTGGCAACGGGCTGGGCAGCAAAAGGCCGGGTGGCAATGGACCCGGATGGCAACGGGCCGAAACCCAATGATGTGCACTGACACTGGCGTTGTTTCAATGAATGCCTATTGGTATCCAGCAAATGCAACTGACACGTGTGGTGATATTGAGGCAAATGCTAACTACACAAGTGGAGATGAATTTACTATCGGCGATACCATCGTAGAATATTCAGCAACATATAGTGGGAACACTGGATATTGTCAGTTCGTTGTTACAGTAATTGGTAGGAATATTTTTCAAGAATTGAAAAAAAACCATAGATAATGTATAAAAAGGTGTCTTTAGTAGGATTCGAACTTGCAGCCTATGAAGGCGAGTATCATACCATTAGACCAGAAATACCAAAACCCGGGCAGGGTACCTTCAAATCAACTGACTCACACACCGTGTAGCTGTGGTTAGATTAGCTTATAGGCTGCAGGTAGGAAGACTGTTAATAAACACTATAAACAGGAAAGTAAGGCGTCATGGAGTAAGACGGACGTGTTATATGGTGGCTCTGACCAAATACATTATTGTATGTTTCTTTGTGGCAGTGCTTAAATTAAGAGACTGTATAACTCAATAATACATAAACCAAAATATCTGGCAAGAATAAAGGCGGGGAAAATGGTGAAAATAAGGGTGAAATTAAGAGAAAAATAGAAGACACTATTACGCAAATGAAGCGGTTAGAAACGGACTTCTATCAGTCAATTGAGTTCCTTAACACAAGGATAGATGAACTGTCTACTAAACTCACACCACTAATCGAGGAAAATGCTGAGATGAAAGCCAAGATTAATCAGCTTAAAGCGCATACTCGAATACAAGACGACATGGTTAACAAGCAAGAGCAATTTTCACGTAGAAATAACGTGAGGATAGTAGGCGTACAGGCTACTGAAGGAGAAAATGAGTTGATATAGTAAGGAATATACTTTACAGCCACTTCGAGCTACCAGACGCCGCAATGTTGAAAGAGCACATCGCGATGGCTGTGCCAACGCAGAAAAATCTCCTCACTTGCTGGTGAAATTGCTATCATATCGAGACAAAATTGATATTCTAAAACGATCAAGATCTGTCTGCAAGGGAAAGAATTTCTTTATTGTGGACGACCTAACCAAAATAGACTTAGCGGAGAAGAAGAAATGGCAAAAAGAAGTTATGGACCTATACAGTCAAATTATTTGAAAATCTTCTTTTGGATATTTTATGTATGTATGTTATAGATAATGAATATACCGGTGCCTCAAATATAGTTAGTGACTTAAATAATGACTTCTCTACCATCTGATAATTTAGATGAAAGCATAGTTACCAACCGTTTCGCATCATGCGGGACGGTCCCGCATTTCAAAGTAATTTTAGATGAAACACGCATTTTGCAGAAACACATGCGTGATCATGAATTTGTTACGCATTTAGCACAAGCCTATGCATGATAACGAATTAAGGGGAAAATGTTTTTAAAATTAGAAGAAATTGGTTTTATTAAAAATATAAATGGTCATGCAGTAACTTGAGTCATTAGAGAGCTTTCGTTATCTCGTTCGGGAATCAATTCACCGAGAATATTTATATTTTTTGACCAAAATAACTCAGCCAACAACGCACTTAGTAGAATCTAGGAGGCGCATGCGGTCTTGCGCGTTCATTGTCAGAACCAAACGTTGATATGTGACTCAAACCTGACCATAACCGGGGTGGACACCCCTGCGGTGGCTACGCCGCAGTTTTGGATTTGGTTATGTTACAAAATATTAAACACCCCTGAGTATAATAACAAGTTAACAAATTTGCTAGTGATTAAAGTTACTTTCTTCACACTTGACAGACAGTGAACCACCAGATCTTGAATGTCCACCAAGCCAAAATGTAGTAGGTGATAATGATTGTATGGCATCGCCCACTTGGACACAACCTACTGTTACGGACAACTCTGGGGAGATTATTCTACCGGTATGTGATTATAGAAATGGGAGCACATTTTCTGAAATGAATACTGTTGTAACATGTAATGCTACTGATGATTACGGCAACATTGGGTACTGTATATTCAACATTATCATTATAGGTGAGTTTAATTATTTTATTTTATTTTATTTATTTATTTATTTATTAATAAAGTCGAAACGATTTTTTTTAAATTTCTGAATTATACTTTCTTGATTATGTTAGATGAGGTTGCTCCTATACTGGATTGTCCAGATAACGTAATGATGTGCACTGACTCTGGCGTAGCTTCAGTGAATGCCTATTGGTATCCAGCTAACGCAACTGACACCTGTTGTTGTGATACTGAGGCAAATGCTAACTACACAAGTGGAGATGAATTTACAGTCGGCGAAACCATCGTAGGATATTCAGCAACCGATTCTAATGGGAACACTGGATATTGTCAGTTCGTTGTTACAGTAACTGGTAGGGATATGTTTAAAGAATTGAAAACAAGTTGATAGATAATGTATAAAAAGGTGTCTTTAGCAGGATTCGAATTTGCAGCCTCTTGCTATGAAGGCGGGTATCATACCATTAGAACAAAAAGACCAAAAGCAGGGCACCTCCAATTCAACTGACTCACACACCGTGTAGCTGTGGTTATAGATTAGCTTATAGGCTGCAGCTAGGAAAGTAAATAATAGTTAGCTGCGTGACAATCATGAACACAAAGTAAACAAATATATGTCAATAACAGTGCTCGCATATGAACAATAATAGCACTGTTACTATTTATGTATTTGTTTATATTTTCAAAAACATTTTATTATTTATTGTGTCTTAGCTT